TCTCTTAACCATGGATCCAACTATCTCTGAGACCATCCTGGACTGCTCAGTTATGTAAGTTTGTTATAAGGCTCTTGATTTCTTCAGCTGTTCCTAAACAGATTCCCCAATTGTTAACAGAGAGACAGCTCCCTTGCTCAATGCTGGGATCTCTTCCATCCATTCCCTATCAAAATCCCGCTTCTAAACCGCTAACGAGTGTCAAGATTAAGAAAGCCCCTGGGCAGGGCATCATACACACCTTGCCAAAAGAAATAATTAATTGGCGATGGCCGTATCTGAGTCTTGGCATAGGGGATGCAATTTTTGAAACCCCTCCTCATAGAAAACATACTAATACATATATAGTTACTAAAACAGCATGAAGATTATTGTTTATTTCCGGGCAGGTTGGGCAGTGATTTTAATTTTCTTTGTATTTTGTATATCTATTCTATTTTGTATATATATAATAGACATGTTTCATTAGTTGGAGCCAGGCAGTGGTGGCACATGCCTTTAATCCCAGCACTCGGGAGGGAGAAGCAGATGGATCTCTGTGAGTTCAAGGCCAACCTGGGCTACAAAGTGAATTTCAGAGCCATTACACAGAGAAACCTTGTCTCAAAAAGAAAAAAAAAGAGTTGGGGCATAGTGGGACATGCCTTTAATCCCAGCATTTAGGAGGCAGAGGCCAGCCTGGTCTACATAGTGAGGCCCTGGCTCAAAAAGACAGGAAAAGAAAAAAAAATAGGAGTAGGTCTGGAGATATATATAGTTTGGTGATAAAGTGCTTGCCTAGCATGTGCAAGGCCCAGGACAAAAAAGAAAAAATAATAATAAAAAGAAGACAACGAAAGGAGCTTGCTATAATGGCTTCCTGTACTGAGGGCTTCCCAGCACTCAGGGGCCAGAGGCAGGAAGATCAGCCAGCCTATATTACAAAGCAAGACCCCAGTCACTTCCATACTTGGGGTTGAACCCTGGGCCTGTGTAGTCTAACCAAATTCTCAGCCACCAAGCTACACCCCAGCACATAAAGGTCTTTGTTTTTTTTTTTTTTTTTTTTTTTTTTTTTTTTTTTTTTTGGTTTTTTCGAGACAGGGTTTCTCTGTGGCTTTGGAGCCTGTCCTGGAACTAGCTCTGTAGACCAGGCTGGTCTCGAACTCACAGAGATCCGCCTGCCTCTGCCTCCCGAGTGCTGGGATTAAAGGCATGCGCCACCGTCGCCCGGCATAAAGGTCTTTCTTTAAAAGTGATGAAGGACGGCCTGGCAGGGGTGGCACACACTTTTAATCCCAGAGGCTGAGTTCGAGGCCAGTCTGGTCTACAGAGCGAGTTCCAGGACAACCAAGGCTACACAGAGAAACCCTGTCTTGGGAGTCAGAGGAAGCGGGGAAGATGCAATTTTAAAAAAACCTTCCCACCACGTGTCTTTCCATGAATGCCCTCCACTCACTGCGAGGTTTCTAGGCTGGGTCCTGGGACACCAATACTAATTTAAGAACAAATGCCCCCATTAACGCGTAAGATTCCCGGGGTAAGCCCACTTCCGATTAGGTGGACAGACCTGGCGCCCAACTCAAGAACTGAAAGTTTGAGATTCCCAGACCATCAGGACACGCCCCCTGCTTGGCTGCGCCGAACGCGTCCTGGCAGAGGGAGGTTCCCAGACTCCTCGCTACCCCGCCTTCAAGCTGGGGGTTCGTATACGCCGGGGGTCAGACAGAAAGGAGGCTCTCAGAAGCGTTCCGGGCCAGCCTTGCAGCCAGATCCTCTCTCCTGCAGGGCCTTGACACCCACTTAGCTGGGACAAGAAACCAACGAAGGTGGAGGTCCGAAGTCCCTCGCGCCTCCCACTGAAGCAGCCCACCAGGCCGCTGCCACCAGCTGGCCAGCAACTGCGTGTCAGCCCCGTGCGGTGCCCACCCTCGGGAGCCAGATCTCTCTCTGCTCCGGCGGCACCAAGGGAGCCCACCCACTCTCCGCACTAACCTGGCCGCCGCACACTCGCCGGGCTCCGCTGCGCGCGGCTTCCGGGTGTGCGCAAAGACGCAGGGGCGGCGCCCCAGCCCGAGCCGCGGGGTCAGCCCGCGTGTCCCGCCTTCTCCGCTCAGGGCCTCTCCTTCCTGCCCTGCTGTCCTCCGTGGCCAGTCCCGTGCCTCCGGGCAAAGCCCACCTAGTCTGCTGAGCAGGTAAGATAACGACACCCAAGGTTAGATGGCAGGACGAACTGCCCACTGGTCATGACTTTAGCGGATTGAGGTTTTTGAGGCCGAAGGGCCCCAGACAGAGCTGCCAAATTTAAGTCAGTTCCTCGGGTTCGATCAGAGGGCGTCTCCTGGAGATAAGAATTTTCTGGCGCCCCCTAGGAATCTGGTTCGGTGATCTTAATCTCTGCTACACTTTAGCACTTAAAGTGGGGTGCCGTGATTCCAGAACAAGCCTGGCCCGGAATCTCCGAAACTCTAGAGTACACTTGGGGCAAATTCCACGAGAAACCGTACTCTTGGAAGACGTGGGGAAATTAAATGGCAAGTGGCGTGGACCCCCAGCACCTTGAAACAAAGCTGGCAGCTTCAAAGAGAACTCACGGCTCCCAACAACGCCCACCTCCTTCTGAAAGCTGAGCTCTGGAGAAGCTTCAGAGTTCCAGCCGAACCTTAAATAGCTAGCGAGAACCAGGGCTGCGCAAAGGTCAGGGCTCTAACTTGAATAAAAACCCTGAAAGAGCTGTCGACTCCAGTGCAGCAAGTCCCCCCCCTCCCCCCCCCCCCCCCGCCCCGGCGCTGTCACCGAAAGCAGCGGGAAGTCTGTGCCTGGGGGTGGAGACAGAGCAAAGGAACCTCCCTTTCTAGGCTGCAAGAACACCACCATTTCCTGATTGGCGTGTGACCTCAGACAAAACAAAACAAAACAAAAAACCGCTTCACTAAGATTCACGCCTGATTAACCCGGCAGTCACTTTCTAGTGGAAGGGCTGGGATGGGACAAGATTCCACAACTTGAAACCTAGGGAGTCAAGTAAAGCTTGTTCAGCAAATGAGAAAGTAGTTTAAAGAACCATTTAGAAGGAAGAGGCAGGCGGATCTCTGTGAATTCGAGACCAGCCTGGTCTACAAAAGCTAGTTCCAGGACAGGCTCCAAAGCTACAGAGAAACCCTGTCTCGAAAAACAAAAACAAAACAAAACAAAACAAAAAAAGCTACAGAGAAACCCTGTCTCGAAAAACCAAAAAAAAAAAAAAAATAGAGCCAGTCTTGGTGGCACATGCCTTTAGTCACAGCACTCCAAAGCAGAGGCAGGTAGATCTCTGTGAGTTCAAGGCCAGCCTGGTCTACAGAGTGAGTTTCAGGACAGCCAAGAGAACATAGTGAAACTCTGTCTTTAAAAAGGAAGAAGAAAGAAAAGGAGGAAAAGGAGGAGGAGATTGGAGAGATGGCTCAGAGGTGCACAAGCAGTTCTTCCAGGGTCCTGAGTTCAAGTCCCAGCCACCACATGGTGGCTGACAACCATCTGTAATGAGATCTGGTGCCCTTTTCTCGTATGCAGACAGAACACTGTTTACATAATAAATAAATAAACCTTTAAAAAGGAAGAAAAACCAAACCACAGAGGCAAGAGTATCTTGAGTTCAACACAGCCAGGGCTATGTAGCAGCAATGAGAAAGATTTAAAAAAAAAAAAGAGGAGAAGAAAGAGGGGGGAAAGAAGTGTGTGTGTGTGTGTGTGTGTGTGTGTGTGTGTGAGTGTGATGAGCACAACCAGAGCTACACCTTTTCCCTTTGGGGAAAATTAATCACATTGTGAAGAGAAACCTCTGCACTTTCTTTTCTTTTTGTTTGTTTGTTTTGTTTTTTGAGACAGGATTTCTCTGTGTAAAAGCCCTGGTTGTCTGGAGCTCCCTCTGTAGACCAGGCTGACCTCGAACTCAGAGGTCCACGTGACTCTGCCTCCTGAGTACTAGGATTAAAGGGATGGGCCACCACGGCCAGCTAGCGTTTTCTTTTTTTAATTAATTTATTTAATGTGCATGTGTTTGCATGTTTGTCTGTGTAACATGGGTGGGTGTGCAGCAGCGTCATGGAGACTAGAAGAGGGTGTTCGATGTCCTAGAATTGTAGTTATTATGGACAGTTATGACTGGCCATGTGGGTGCTGGGAACCAAATCTCCACCTTCTCTGAGAGCAATAAATGTTCTTAATTGATGAGCCATCTTTTCAGTCCCCTGTCTTAAAAAAATCATTTTTAGATTTACATATTTATTTATTTATTTATTTTAGTTTTTCAAGACAGGGTTTCTCTGTAGCTTTGGAGCCTGTCTAGCTCTTGTAGACCAGGCTGGCCTCGAACTCCCAGAGATCCGCCTGCCTCTGCCTCCCGAGTGCTGGGATTAAAGGCGTGCACCACCACCACCCGGCTCTAGATTTACATATTAATTTATGTATATGAGTGTTTGCCTGTACGTGCCTGGTGTCCAAAGAGTCTCGAAGAGGTACCAGATCCCCTGGAGCCAGAGTTAAGGACAGTTGTGAGCCACCTCGTGGGTGCTGGAAACCAAACCTAGGTCCTCTGCAAGAAGAGCCAGCTTTTTTAGCTGCTAAGCCATCTCTCCAGTCCCATCCTTTTGTTGTTTTTTTTTTTAATGATCTGTTTATTCGTGTTTATGAGTATGGAAGTGCTCGATCCAGGGTGACAAGCATGCCAGTGGAGGCCAGAGGACAACTCTCAGAGTCACTTCTTCCTTTCCACCACTGGGTCCCAGGGATAGAACTCAAGTCATTCATGTTGGGGGCAAATGCTTTATCTGCTGAGTCATCCCACAGGCTGGAAGCGCTACACTTTTGCAAAGCGCATAGCATCTCCCAGGCTATAAGCATCGCTATGCCCAAGCATTGGCATTTCTGAAATACTTCGACCTTTCTGAGCCCAGGGCTCCCTCTTTCACTTTAGGCCCCCGCTGCTGGCAGCAGCAGACCCGCCCCCCTCCCGCCCCCCCCCCCCCCACTCCCGCCACACCATGGTGGAGCCCGGAGAAAAACTGCCAGAGGAAGTGTTGGCGCTCATCTTCCGCGATCTGCCTCTTAGAGACCGGGCTGCAACCGCCAGAGTCTGCAAGGCCTGGGCTGCGGCCACCACCAGCAGTGATGTGTGGCGTGACACCAACATCAGGTGAGCTGCTTCCTGCTGCCACTCCACCTCACGCTTGAACACAAACTCAGTGCTGCCTACTTTATACCAAGTAGTATTGGGTATGTTTGGTTTTGAGCCCAGGGGATTGAACTTGGGTCTCACTTGCTAGGCAAGGATTCTACCACTAAACTCTGACCCCAATCCCCAAGGAGTGTTCTAAGTGCCTTCCACAAATTAGCTATTTAATCCTCACAAGAAGCTTGTAGCAGGTAGATAGCATTATTTCCTTTGCAGACAGGCAACCGAGGTGTAGAGACTTAATCGCTTGGGCCTGGAGGCTGCATCCAGCAACTGAGTGAGAGAGGCAGTGGTCTGGAGGTCCTGCTCCACCTCCACAGACTACTGAGTAAGCCTAGTGCTTTAAATGCCATTTAAAAAAAAAAAAGTTTTTTTTTTTTTAGTTTTTCAAGACAAGGTTTCTTTGTAGCTTTGGAGCCTGTCCTGGAACTAGCTCTTGTACACCAGGCTGGCCTCGAACTCACAGAGATCTGCCTGCCTCTGCCTCCCGAGTGCTGGAATTAAAGGCGTGTGCTGCAGCCACCCCGGCCTACCATGGATTTTTCCCAGGGCTGGAATGCTGGGAGGTTACAGCCTGAGAAGCCTCTGAAGACTTCTGAAGAGAAAGGATGGATGGACGTTCCCATCACAGAGAATAGAGAAGGCAGGTGGAACCCACAGTGAGGGGCACATAGAGATGGCCCCTCAATTAAGAGCACAAGCTGCTCTTCCAGAAGACCTGGATTCGGTTCCCAGCTCCCACTCAGCAGCTCATAACCGGCTGTAATTACAATCCTGGAGGATTCATCACCCTCTTCTGGCCTCCTCAGACACTGGGCACACCCGTAGTGCAGACATACAAGCAGGCGAAACAACTACACACACACACACACACACACACAATCAATACACTAATAAAAAGAAGTTTCTTCCCCATTCATGGTGACACCGCTAATTCCCTTCTGTGTCGCTCTAATGCCAGTTGTGACCGTGAGCTGGAAGACTTGTTGCCACCGTATTTGTATGCCTGCCTGGACCACATTCACAACCTACAGCTGGAATATGAGCCATCAAAGAAGCCCAGCCGCCGAGCAGCCACCGAGCTACTGAGGGCTCTTGCCGACCGAGCCCCAGGACTTCGAGGCCTACGCTTAGAATGCCGCGGAGAGAAGCCGCTTTTTGACGCCGGCGGCGACATCCTGAGTGCTGTGCACGCAGTCTGCGGAGCAGCTCACCAACTGCGCCACCTCCACCTGCGCCGCTTGCCCTACACACTAGACGACACGCTGGTGCTTCAGGCTGCACGTGACTGTCCCGAGCTCCGTAGCCTTTTCCTGGACAACCATGCACTAGTGAACAACGTGCAGCCCAGCTCTGTGCTCAAGCTTTTGGAGGCTTGCCCGCACCTGCGCACCCTTGGACTGCACCTGGCCAGTCTGTCGCCTAAGGCGCTGGAACTGCTGGCCGCGCCACATCGCGCCCCTTTTGCACTCCTGGCTTTGAGGTGCGCGTGCCCCGAAGATGGTCGTGCGCCCCTCCTGCCTGATGAAGCCTGGGCGACACTGCGTTGCCGCCACCCTGGGCTGGAGGTGGAGCTGGAGCTGGAGCCTGCGCTTTCAGACGAGGCCGTAACGCGCGTCCTGCAACCAGCCGTACCAGTGGCTGTGCTGCGTCTCAACCTCTCGGGTGACACGGTAGGACCCGTGCGCTTCGCAGCGTGCCACTACGCCGAAACTCTGCGCACCCTCGAGGTGCGCGCATCCGCTTCCACCGAGCTGCACACCGCTCTGGAGGAGGTGGCGGCGCGCTGCGCGGGCTTGAGGGAGATACACTGCTTCTGCGTGGTGAGACCCTCGGTACTGGACGCCTTCCGCGCGCACTGCCCGCGCCTGCGCAGCTACACCCTCAAACTAAAGCGTGAGCCGCATCCCTGGCGGCCCACGCTGGTGCGGTGATTGGGCAATCTCACCACTTCTGGACTGCCCGGACCCCAAGCCACTGAAAGGACTGAGCAAGTCGCGCAGGCATTCCCCAGAGGCTAGCCCCATCCTTGGGGAGCCCCTTGACTATGGTGCTTCTTGGGGCTTGGGGCCTATGAAGGCATCCAGGCCAGTCCCAGGCTCCATAGATTCATGCGGCCTTCTTAACCTCTGTGTCTCTCCCCATTCTAGGCTTTCCCTCCCTGTCCACTCTGCGCTAGCTCCGAGGCCCAGAACTGGGGGAGGGCAGGCACAAACACAAGCCAAAAGTCAAGGGTGAGTGTGAAGTAAATAAATCCTTTAGTATTTCTGCGTCCTGTAATCTCGAGCCAGCTCTGAAGGGGAGGGCAGGAAATGCACAGACTGGAAGAGCGTCCGGCCGGACTTGCAAGAATGGGGACCTCGGGGGCTTTTGTACTGTGACCGTAATCGGTACACTCTATACTCCAGGAATGACCAATTCCCTAGCGTCCGAAAGACAGGGAAGGGCCAGCTTAACCCACCACCCTGTCTATCTGCCCTCCCTTACCTAGGCTTCACTACGTCCACAGATGAACTTCTAGGACTTTCCGAGCCCACAGATGATTTCTGCCCATCAATCCAGAAAGAGAGGGACTTGAGAAGGATGAGACTCGAACCTGGGTTTCCCTCCTCACCTCCCCCCCACCACACACACCTACGTTTCAGCCAGCCTTTTCTCTTTGCTGGTGACCGGGCGGCTGTCCGAGCCCCGCCCCTTGGGTTCGCACGCGGCCCCCGCCTGACCCGGCGCCCAGGGGCGGAGTAGGGCGGGGCGGGCGGCAAACGCAGCACTTTCGCGGCTTTGACAAGCCCGCAGCGGCCGGGCTGGAACGCTGAGCCCGGCCGAGACTGCGCCATGCAAGAAGCGCCAGCTGCGCTGCCCACGGAGCCAGGCCCCAGCCCAGTACCTGCCTTCCTCGGCAAGCTATGGGCACTGGTGGGAGACCCAGGCACAGACCACCTCATCCGCTGGAGCCCGGTGAGGGCTGGGGCCCCTCAACTCTCTCAGTGGTCCCCGGGGGTCCGTCCAATGTCTGTGAACACCCATGTCTACCCAGCCCCCACCTGGGACTGGGCTGTACCTCGATTCAGCTGTGCCGAGTGGATCACGGTGGAAGGGTAGGTGAGATACATGAGGAGCGAGGGTCCCAGAGCCCAAGGGACCTAGGTAATTCTTACTTTACTTGTTTACTGATGAGAAACCAGGCCAAGAAAAGGGAAGGCTGGCTCCACCTCTGGCTCAGGGTCACAAAGTGAGCCTGAGACCAGTCTGAGGTTGACCCCGGGTTGGTACGTGCTCTTTCTTTCTGAGGATCTAATCTGGGTCTGGTTAGGGGTAGGAATTGTTTGTGGTTATGGCAGGGTAGACCTCATATGGTTCTGACCTGGTCATGTCCCACCTCCCAGTGAGGTGCAACCCTGGAGCAGTGAGTGAGTGTGGTCCAGCGGTGAGTGTCTGCCTCTCACCTAGTCTGGTCTCCACCCGATGGGCATCCTTTCCTTCTTGGCAGAGTGGGACCAGCTTCCTCGTAAGTGATCAGAGCCGCTTCGCCAAAGAAGTCCTGCCTCAGTATTTCAAGCACAGCAACATGGCGAGCTTTGTTCGCCAACTCAACATGTGTGAGTCCCTCTATCAGGCCCAGGTGGAAAGCGGGTTGGGGTTACTTGGTGCAGAGGATGGAGCGGCTCACACCCCCGCCTCCCTTCCCCGCCCACTATTCCCCAGATGGTTTTCGGAAGGTGGTAAGCATTGAGCAAGGTGGCCTTCTCAGGCCAGAGAGTGACCACGTTGAATTCCAGCATCCAAGCTTCGTGCGAGGCCGGGAGCAGCTACTGGAGCGCGTGCGCCGCAAGGTGGGACAAACTGCAAAAATGGGAAAAGGCCCATGTTGGTACTTCTGGCTCTGGTTTATGTGTCCCTGTCCGGGATGGTGTGTCCTACCTACAGGTACCTGCGCTGCGAGGTGATGACAGTCGATGGCGTCCTGAAGACCTAGGCCGACTGCTGGGAGAGGTGCAAGCTCTGAGGGGGATGCAGGAGAGCACGGAGGCACGGCTGCAGGAACTCAGGCAGTGCGGGACAGGGAAGGAAGGGTGGAGTTATGGGGGATAGGATACCTGCCACCTAGGGGTTCTGGGCAGGGTCTTCCACTCCTATAGACTAGAGGCTTCATCCAGACAATGGGTTCAGCTCTGTAACGCTTAGTCTTGGAAGAGAGACGTCCCTTCTGCTAGTGACCTCTCCATTCTGTGGGGCACGGTGTCTGATTAAACTCGGATGCCTCAGCATCTCCCCACCCCTCTTCCCAGGCAGAACGAGATCTTGTGGCGAGAAGTGGTGACCCTGCGACAGAGCCACAGTCAGCAGCACCGGGTCATCGGCAAGGTGTTCCTCTTCCCCTAGCTCTTATCCTCCCGCTCCTGGGCACCCCATACCTCCACGCCTGTCCCCCAGACCCACCAGAAATTGCTTTTCTATGGTGAGGGGCCTGGCCTGAAGTATGAATTAACCCTTTCTTTTCAGCTAATCCAGTGCCTATTTGGGTCGCTTCAGACAGCACCCAGCAGTACAGGAACCAAAAGAAAGCTGTGAGTCCAGAAGCCTATAGTGTTCACACCCACATTCCCGCTGCCAGGACTCCCTTCCTTGTCAAGGACCCCACTCCAGAGACTCCTCCAGATCCGGACTCCCCTACTTTTTACCCTCAATCCACCAACTATCACCTCCACTTCACATCCCCTTGCCGCTTCATTACCCTCAAATTCCTATGCCCAAGTCGGCACCCCTGGCTTGGGGCTCAAACTAAGCTCTCTGGCTCCCCTCTAACCCCCAAAGGGCCCCCATCTCTCAGGGAGCCCCTTCCACTCCAGCATGTGACTGATGCCCTGGAAACAGGCCTCAGCTCTGCTGACTGGGCTGCTGGGGCCTGAGGGAGAGGGAGGGAGGGAGGGCAGTTCAGGCAGAGAGGCATGGCGGCCTAACCTGCTCACCCTGTACAGGTCCCTGATGCTGGATGAGGGGGACTCATGCTCGGCCTCTGCCAAATTCAATGCCTGCCCCGTCTCTGGTGCTCTCCTCCAGGACCCCTACTTTATCCAGTCGGTAGGTGGTGTTTCCTCCTCTTCCTCTTCTAGGGTGCAGATAGGATTGTGAGGAGCCTGTTTCTTCCCCCTTTCTGCCCCTCAAAGATGAATGCCAACATTCTACCAACCAGACCTAGGTTTTTTGTTTTTGTTTTTTGAGACAAGGTTTCTCTGTAGCTTTGGTGCCTGTCCTGGAACTAGCACTTGTAGACCAGGCTGACCTAGAACTCACCAGAGATCCCCCTGCCTCTGCCTCCCGAGTGCTAGGATTAAAGGTGTGCACCACCACCACCCAGCTTTAGATTCATTTTCAAACCCTGACCTTTAATCCTGGTTCAGATGGGTGCTGGTTGGGCTCTTCTGTAGCTGGAGGTCAAGAGCTTGGTCAAACCTTCTACTTGCAGCCTCTCCCAGAGACTACCCTGGGCCTCAGCCCTCACAGGGCCAGAGGGCCCATCATCTCTGACATCCCAGAGGATGCTCCATCTCCTGAAGGGCACAGGCTTTCTCCCTCCGGTGGTGGCAGGAGGTAAGGAGGACAGGGCCTGCCTTGTGGGGACCCTACAGAAAGCGCCTACAACCCAGAGGCCTGTGGGGGTGGGGAGAGGTCAGGGTCAGGGTCTGGTTGAAGCTTTTCTCTGGTGCAGGGTGAAGGGCCTGGCATTGCTCAAAGAAGAGCCGGCCAGTCCAGGGGGGGATGGCGAGGCCAGGCTGGCCCTGGCCCCAAACGAGTGTGACTTCTGCGTGACAGCACCCCCACCGCTGCCCGTGGCTGTGGTGCAGGCCATCCTGGAAGGGAAAGGGAGCTACAGCCCTGAGGGGCCCAGGAGTGTACAACAGCCTGAACCCAGGGGCCCCAGGGAGGTACCCGACAGGTGAGCAGAACCAATGTTGATGGTTTATAGATAGAGTCTCGTATGCTGGCCAAACAAAAACTTCATCTGTCCTGTGGTAGCTGAGGGCGGACATTGGGCAGCAGACTCTCATGACCCTGACTGACCTGATTTCTCAGAGTATGCTCCGAAGAGTATCAGAATTATTTAGAATGGAAACCCCCAATCAAGTCACCAAGCACCCTGAAGTAGGGCTCTGGGATTTACAGGAAATTAGTTCACTGGCATGATTATAACATATATAACAACCAAGGGTCTTAGTGGCACAGGGGTGTCAACTTGGGAAACTGAGGCAGGAGCATCACAAGTTCAAGGCTTGCCTGGGCTACAGTGTGAACTCAAGACCAGTGTTGGTAACTTAGTGAGACTCTGACTAGATATAAAAGGAAGATTTGGTGGGATGGTTCAGCAGGTGAAGCCCTTGCCACAAAAGCCTCTTGCCTGAGTTCAACCCCTAAAACCCATGTGAAGTGGAGAGAATCAACTCCACACAACTGTGCTCCCTGACCTCTGCACATGCCCCCCCCAAGACACATAATACCCATCAATAATAACACATAAAATAAATCTGCTGGGCAGTAGTGATGCACGCCTTTAATCCCAGTACACAGGAGGCAGAGGCAGGTGGATCTCTGTGACTTCGAGACCAGCCTGGTCTACAGAGTGAGTTTCAGGACAGCCACAGCTGTTAATGCAAAGAAACCCTGTCCCCTAAAACCAAATAAATAAATCAAAAATAAAAGTAATGGGAAAAGGGTGGTTAGGCTGGGGACATAACTCAGTGGTGGAATATGTACCTAGCGTGCTCAAGCCCGAAATTCAAACTCCAACTGGAATACACATGCACACATAACAAAAACCAAACCAAAAGCCTTTGCTAGTCTTTATACTTCTCTAGAAAGGGGACCTCTGCCAAGATCTCAGGTCTTAGTTAGGAAGCAAAGGCAAATCAAGGCAACCTAGGAAGCTGGGCATGGTGACATACCCCTGTTGTAATTAATGCCAGAACTAAGGAGGAGGTGGTGGCAAGAGGGTCAGGAGTTCAAGGTCATACTTAGCTAGTAAAGGTTTGTGGATGGACTGAGCTACACAAGACCCTATGCCAGACAACAACAAAGATTCCCCTTTAGCACCCAGGACATTGAGGCAAGAGGATTGCTGTAAGTCTGAAGCCAGCATAACAAGATGTTGTCTCATGCCCACAAAAATTAAAAAAAAAAAAAAATAGAGAGAGAGAAAAGAAGAAAAAATCTCCCCTACTAGGGAGGGGGTTGAAGGAAAGTATTGTTTCTTAGCATGTTCTAGTTGTTGGGGCAGTTTAAACCTGATGATGCAAGTTCCCTGGGAGGTGGATGTCAGAGACGGATAGCAAGCAGTTCTTTGTGCACAGGGGAACTCTGGGCCTGGATCGGGGTAATCGGAGCCCAGAGAGTCTGCTGTCCCCAATGCTGCTTCGGCCTCCCCCTGAAACTGTGGAACCCATAGCACCCATGGATGTGAGTATCTCTTTGCCCGGGCAGGATGTGAGACATACGAAGTTGAGCTGTCTGTGCAGCCTTTGAAGGCACCACTCACCCAAGCTCTTCCCAGGTGCTGGGCCCTGGCCTTCCAGGACGAGAATGGACCCTGATGGATTTGGACATGGAGTTGTCTCTGGTAAGAAAGGAGCGGCTGAAGGTTGGTTTGGTTCACGGCTGAAGGATTGCCGCAGTGACTACCAGCTCTCTTCCTTGATTTCCGGGCTCCCTTCTCAATTGCTTCCTGGGGTTCTCCCATGCAGATGCAGCCCTTGGCTCAAGAGAGAGGTGAGGCTGAGCTGACCGTCAAGGAGTTGAATTCTTCAGGTGTAGGTAATGGTGGAGACGCCTGGGTAGAAGCCACCATGATCTGAATTACCCTGATTGGGCAGGGTGGGTGGCTTAGGCAGGAGAGGGATGACCCTGAATTCAGGCTGCCCTGTAGAGACTTCTAGAGACACCCATACCATCATCACTGTGTGAGAGGAGTGAGCTCAAGAATAATGTTTTAAGCTATATGGTAGTACACACTTTGTAATCCCAGAACTCAGGAAGATCGTGAGCGCAGAGTCAGCCTGGGATGTATAGCAAGCTCCTGCCTTTAAAGGGTGTGTTTGTATCGATGTTACCTCCTAACCACAGCCTACTCCTAGGGAAAGACCACACGCTGGGAACCCCACTCCTGCTGGATGTTCCGGTGGATTTGCAGGGTACAGCTCTGTCAGTGCCTGGGGCTTTAACCCTTTACAGTGCTCCTGAAAGCAGTGCCCCCTACTTGGATCCTGGAGCCAGTCCTTCCTCCCCCTAGACTCCCGCCCCTCTGAAAAAGCCTGGCTAAGGAACCAGCACGCAGCAGCACACCCCTTTAGGCTTCCTGGCGTCTCCTGGGGGGAGTGAACGAAGCCCCCATTATGCAGCACCCTCTCTCCACTACCCCAGTGAGTCTTGCAACATAAACTGCATCTCCCCACTCTTGTTTCTGGTCTCTCGTTTTTTCTGTCAACCAAAGACAGTGGATAACGACTTTGCATTCGGACAAGTGTCCAGATGCAGACAAGTGTCCGGATGTTTGGACTTACAAACATCCTAACACTCAGACTTTCATGGAAGCCCCCCACCTCGAGAATGGTGGTACTTGGAGGGCCCAGTGCCGAAATCTTTCACTTGCACTGAGATGCCGGCCACTGTATCCTCCAGGAGGCAGGCGTTTCTGCGCCACGTCCAGCTTCTCTATGCACGTGTCTCTGACTCTGGGCAAATCGGTTCCCTTCTCTAAACTTATCTGTGACAGGCGGAGGAAGGAGTCGTAGAAGGACAAATTAAAAGCACCTAGCAATTAGAAGGCCCAGAGTGGGCTGGACACGTGGGACCGTAAACAGAACTGACCCCCTGACTCAAATCTGGGTGGTCTGGGAGGGAGAGGAGAACGGACTATGTGCTCCCCCCGCCCCCGCCCTCGCCGGGTGCCAGCGCACGGCCTCGGCGTCCAGGACCGAGTTCGCAGAATCAGAGTTCGCCCCTCCCTCCCCCATTCCCGGCAGCCCTGGCCGCCCCGCCCCCCTTTGCAGCTGCTGTGCACGTCCCCACCCCGCTCGCTCGGTCCTTTCTGCACTGTCACCTGCCCCGGTGAGGCTCAACTCCTAAGTGGGGCCGTCCGAAACGAGCCGGACCACAAGCCGGACTCCACCCAGCAGGGAGGGAAAGGAAAACAGATTGGGCTGAATACCGCACCTCACCACCAGCAGCGGAGCTCCAAGGTCTGTGGGCCCCGCCCTTCCGCAGGATTGAAGCTTTAGGAATGAGTGGAGGGCTGGTGAGGGGGACCCTTGCGGTTGCGCATGCGCAACGGGCTCCCGCAGTTTCCACCCTAGTTCCCCAACAACAAATCCCAGCCAGCCAGCAAGCTGGGTATCCCAGACCAGACCTGGGGCTCCAGATAACATTAGGCTTGTCCTTTGATGCACTGGCCAGGACATAACCAGCGTTTACCTTAGAGCTGTGATAACTTCAAAGGGAGGCCCCAGTCAGCTAAGGTCTAGCCGGTGGTGGTGGCAGTTGGCGCTTCAGAAGTCAGGATAGATCACTGAATTCCAGGCAAACTTGGTCTACAGAGCGAGTTCGAGGACAGCCAGGGCTACAACAGAAAAAGCTTGTCTCAAAAAAAAAAAAAAAAAGAGGGGAGAGAGAGCACGCGCCAGAATAGGTGCAGGCCTCACTCCCTTCCCTGTAACCAGTGATGGGAGTCAGCCTTTGGAATCCTCGCTGAGGAGAGCAGAGGTGGTTCTGAGCATGTAGCTTAGAGATCCCAATAAACACAGTAATGAGGACTGTAGCACCCAAAAGGAATTAGCTACCTTTGAACTCTCAAGAATTGGGGTAGACCTGGGAGCATTTGCGTCTTGAGAGCAAGATCCATAGAGTAAAGGGGAGAGAAGAGAATCCCAGGCCTAGGGAACAGCATCGGCAAAAGCTAAGGTGCCAGGACCTGGCTGACCAGAGTGGTGGGAGGGAATTTAAACAGCCAGACCAGGCAGCTTAGATTCTTTGATGAGTAAAATGAGGTGGAAGGGTGGAGGATAGCATACAAGGTCTGGCAGTCAACGAGGCAAGAGACATTATAAGTTTAAGGTAGGGCAAGTTGGATCCCAATTGTGCTGGGTTTCTCTGAGCCTGTCTCTTCATCCAGAGAACTGGAACAATAAATGCTAGCCCAGAGTTGTCGAAGTCACTACGTTGGAGTGAGGGGAGGGGAGGAGTGGGCATGAGTGAGGTACTCAGAGGCACTCATTGTACCAGGACGCAAACTGCTGATGGTGGGCTTGGTGGGCAGGAGTGGATGCAGGGTGATTATAGGACCTCTGACTCAGATAGGACAAGAAGGGGCAGAATGGGAGCAAATGTCCCTTTGTCTGTGCTTAGTGGCCTTGGGGAAGGGCTGACAGGAGGCATGGAGGGGACCCAAGGTGTGAAGTGACCAGGGAGAGACCTGAGACCTGGGAGGCATGGTATGTGGTGGTGGGGGGGGGGGGTAAGGATCCTAGGACCTAGGAAAGAAGGTGGAACAGGGGCATTTAGGGCAGAAGAGACCTAGAAGGATGCTGTTAGAACAAAGCTAAGGCAAAAGGAATGGCCAGCTTTCCTTTTTCCTTGGTGCCAGGACCCTTCCTGACTGGGTCAGGATGCCCAACCCGAGTGGGCAGTAGTCCTCAGTTGATAATGGACAAGCAGAGTAGATTCATTTGTTCCCAGTTCCTACAGTTTGGTAGAGGCAAGCTCTCAAAAAATAATAATAATCCACATAGGGGAAGCTAAAAGTTTGGTAAGCATTCCTTAAGGGCTTTTCAAAGCTGGACCTTGGGAATCTCAAGGTCAAGTAAGAGATGGCTGTGAGCCAGTGCCAGGCTGTCAGGGAAACATGCTGGAATGTCTGTCAAAATTCGGGAAAACTCGGTAGTTCTGCTGCTGGGATAGTAAGGAACCAGGAGGAGTGGCAGATCATGTTGAAGTTGCAGTGTGGTGGGGAGTTTGGTGGGGGAGGTTCTGTTATGCCAGGACCTCAGGGTTAGGGGAATGGAGCACGCGTGCCTCCGCACTTTAGGCTTTGAATGCAGACCAGACTGTCTGAGAGATCAGGCTGGCTGCCCTGACCCAAGGCTTGCTGCAGGGTTCCGGAAGGAGGTGTGGATCAGTCCTAAGGTTGTCTGCCAGTTTAGGTAAGGAATTGGGTTTAGAAAAAATAACTCAGTTGGATAAACTGGATCTTGACTGGTGGCCAACTCAGCAGGCGGCTGGGGCTTAGGAGGGAAGTCCTAGCTAGGGCGAGCACTCCACTGACAGGTAGACACTAGAAGAGGAACCTGAGGAGTCAGGACAAAAGCAACCAAGAGGCTGGAGGATGAGTTCTGTGCTCCTGGCCTCCAGGTCCTCCGCTGAAGAACCAACCAGACTCTGATGTCGAGGTGAACTTAGATCACTCCTGGGCGAGGTCAGTGTGTGAGAACGCCAGCTTCCCCCCACTCCCCATTTTTCTCCCTCTTGATATAGCCCAAACATGGGCAACGTGCAGGAACGGCCATCGGAGATCATTGACCGGGAACGGAAACGGCTGGTAGATACCTTGCAGGCTGACTCTGGGCTGCTGCTGGACGCGCTGGTGGCCCGGGGCGTGCTGACCGGGCCTGAGTATGAAGCCTTGGATGCGCTGCCTGATGCTGAACGCAGGGTGCGCCGCCTGCTGCTGTTGGTGCAGAGCAAGGGCGAGGCAGCCTGCCAGGAGCTACTGCGCTGTGCCCAGCATACCGTGCGTGTGCCAGACCCCGCCTGGGATTGGCAGCACGTGGGGCCTGGTGAGCACCAGGAGGGTGGAGCCTTGTTGAAATGGGGGCGTGACTTGGGGTGAGGCAAAACTAAGGGTAAGTAGAGGGCAGAGAATGTGGAGGTAGCTAACCACAGAGGGGTGAACTGAGTCTCAAATATTCCACTTCCTCCCCAGGCTACAGGGACCACAGCCATGAGCATTCATGCTCGGGCCACTGGACGCCCGAGGTACCCAGTTCAGGGACCACATGTCCTGGGCTACCCAGAGCTACAGAGCAAGAGGAGGTCGGAGGTCCTGAGGGCTCTGAGGCAGTGCAATCTGTAACTCCAGAGGAGCCCGAACTAGACGCTGAAGCCTCTGAAGGGGACGAGCTGGACCCGGAACAACAAATGGAACCGGAGCCAGAGCCAGAGGTAGAACCAGAGCCGGAGCTGGAGCCGGAGCCGGAGCCGGAGCTGGAGCCGGAGCCCGAGCCTGAGCCCGAGCCTGACTTCCAAGAAGAGGATGAGTCTGAAGGTTGTGAGACTGTCTAAACCCTTGCTCACAGGCTTGCTAGATGTTGTTTGAGGGTTGATACACATTCCACTCACCATCATCCTCTTCGTCTCTAGATTCCTGAAGGCCAGAATCCTGACCTGTACAAATCCTACCCAAGCTGGGTAAGACCTGGGAACCTGCCAGAGCTTGACCCAATCAATACACCAAGACTCCATTTACCGCAAAATGAATAAACTCGGGAGGGTTAACCTGGACCCGACTCTCCACAAGTCTGGCTCTGCTCAGGAGGGTGTGTGGGTTGGAGTCCCACTGACCTGAGCAGCTTTTTGTGAAACACCCCATCCATGCAACCACATTTCACCCCCGAAATAGCCCAAACTATTTCTGGAGGTCTCAGACCCAGGCCCCTAATGGAATCTGGCCCCCGCCCCACTGCTCTCTTTCCCTTCAGGGAGCCAGTTGGGAGCCTGCGTTAGAAACCGTTCTACTCCGTGGAAATCACTAGGCTTGGTGTACTGAGCAAAGAAAGGGGGGCTGCAACCCCCACTTGATGAGGGAAGTTGTGGAGCTCACACTCTTGAAGGGGGGGGACATGAGAGGGAACTTCAGTTGAGACAGAAACCACACACATCATTGTAACTGCTTTCCTCTGCCCAGGAGCTCAGCGGGGGTCTAACCAGTCACAGACACACACAAGGAGCTCTGGACATATCTATTAAGTCAATGAACAAGAACGCCCCAGCATCACAGATGAGAAAAAGAAAAGGCCAGGGTAGGGACGATACTGGCTCAGTCTCTCGCCGCTGAATCCGAAGTGAAAACCAAGGCATCAGCTCTGTTCTTCCCCGGGCCCAAGACCGGCTCAAAACTGGAGAGGACAAATCCTATAGGCCTGACCTGCAGGTTTGACTGTGGCTGTCCCCAGCCTGTACCAACCACTGCCAGAGACCAGCTGTGAGGGTGTGGTCAGAGACAGGCACAACCGGGACTAGCATGGGGGCTGAGGGTGGGGCCAGGTGCTGGACTCACAAGACCTGGCGTCCAGTGTGTCTGTGTGTGATCAGAGAGGGCCTGGGAACAGATGGTACCTTTTCAAAGTACCCGTCCCCTCCACTGAACTTTAGGAGCTGCTGCCCCCCAGCCCCAGCTGGAGGCATGAATAACGCACGTTGGCATGGAGGCAAATATGGAATACTTCATGACTGGTGAGAGAGACAAAATGCTGAAAAGCAAGCTCCAGCCCAGCTGGGTCTCTGAGCCTGAACGAAAGGCAGGACCCTATGCTCAGGCACGTCACCTCAGAGGGGTCCCAACTGCCACTAGACCCAGTGAGAGGTAGACAGTATGAATGCAGAAGAGTACCGATAGGCCAGGTAGGGGAAGGGAAAGACTGGTACCAGACACCCAAAGCCGTCTCATGCAGGAACAAGTTTCTATTCCCAAACCAACCCCCATTCCTATTCACACTCAATGCCCCTCCTATCCCCAGGTCTCTCCTACTCAGGAGTTTATGGGACATACTGCTGCTGGTTCACAGGCCCCAGGAAGACTAGCAAGGACAAAAAAAGCCTTCTGACGTTGCCTCTCATCTTCCCAAGATGCTCCTGGCCTCCCAGTGCCCCGCAAGAAACACCTAGGCTATGGAACCATAAAGAGCTTCATATTCTTGATCTGAGACCTCTGTCAAGATCTTCTGTCTGTAACCCTTAACCAACATCAGTCAGGCAGCAGGCGGCCCAGCTCCTCTTCATCCAGCCGGTTGGTAGCCATGATGTGTTCCAGTTGCTGCCGGTAGCGTCCCAAGTCCTTCATAAAGTGGGGTACTCGGGTATTATCTAGTATTCCATGGGGCTTCAGTTGGTCCACATCTTCATAGGAGACCTAGAGGGAGAAAACTAAGACTCAGGGCTAATCACAGCCCCTGGCTTTCAAGCAGCCAGCCCCATACTGACAACTCAGGGCCATTGGCTCCTGTGATGGCTCCTCTAGTCCTGATCCAGTCCACTAGGTACCTTCAGGTTCAGCCCTGGGTCTTTTCTCTTTCTCTCTACATCTTCCATCTATGTTCTACAACCCATTCCCCTCCAGCCCAGCTTATCCCCTCACCTCTAAACAATGTTCAGCTGATACCTAGGTATCTCTTAGGTAGCTCCCACATCCAACACGAGACGGCCCCCCCACATGATATCCAATAGGAGCCTCCCACAGCAAAGCTGTGCCACACTTTATTATAGCCTCTCAACCCCTTCCCACTTTGCTTCTGATGAGGTTTATTTTCCTCAGTTTAGTACAAATACTCAGGGCTTGGGTTTTGGTCCATGGACATTTCTCCAGTCTCCTTCCCCAGAACTTCCTGACTGCTCCCTTGTCCTGGAACACTCACCTCCTGAAATACACGCACACATCTGCAGGCGGGGTCACACGCCTCATCTGGGATAGCAAAGTTCCATTTCTTCTTGCCTGCTTACCTCCACCCAAGTTCCTACCCCGGGAGAGGCTGGTATCCAGGCCTCCACTGAACATGACTCAGGGGTACAGGGAGGATGGAAGAACCGGCTGGGGCCTCTGTAAGCCCTCAGCCCCTTACCTTGCCCAGCGAGGTCAGCAGTGGGAAATCGATGGTCTGCCGGTGCCGCAGGATGCGCACAATGCCATCCAGGTACACTTGGTCCTTGCTGAAGCAGCCTGTGAGAACGAGGATCAATAAGTCCTTACCCCAAAGCCATCCTTCGCTTTGCACCAGCCCGGGCCTTCCCCTGACCCCGCAGCTCCCACCTGGCTGGGAGGTATCCATCTGTCCTCGCTTGGCCCGGACGCAGTACTCCCAGCGTACTGCCTCATCCTGCACATACTGCGCCAGATCCTGGAAGAGCTGGCGGAAGGACATGTGCGCGGCCTGGTAAATGGTGTAGTAGAGCAGGGCCGCTCGCCACAGGAACGGCTGCTTTCGGAACAGCACACTGTGCAGGCTAGCCAGGCCCTCCTCCGTGGGGTTAGCTGGCCGCAGTCCGTACTGCAATCTGCCTTCGGTGCTGTGCCATGGTTGCCGCGCATTGTTCACACCGCGCAGGTAGTGGGTACCTGCAGGGAGGACGCGGTGGTGGCTGAACGCACTCCGAGGACCTCTAGTAGAGACTCGTAGATCTTCATGCCCCCAAATTTACCCCACAAGTCATCCCAAGCCCTACCTAAATGCATTCTCACGCAGCTCCAGCAATAAGACTCTTGGTCCGACACAGAATCCTCTCTGCCTATTTTCTCATCTCCTGCACACCAACTCATATTGTGCACGAGCCCTCCTAGAGACCAGGCACGTGGCACCCCGCCCCAACGTCCTAGCGCCCATGCCAATCATCTTGACAGTCATGCAAATGCCCCAATCAAAATCACTTCTTGCCCAGAACAACAACAGGATTCTTGTCTGGTAAGGGCAGTGACTACTGTCCTGTGCTCCCCTTCCTAGCCTGATCTCCTAAACTTTTATCCATGTGTCTTTTTCAAGCAATTCAATTCCTAGGATCTGGCCTGCCACTCACCCTGGTGGGCCTGTGTGTTAGTTAGCTAGTCTGATGGAACCCTTAGAATTCTTCCTGGCCTGTTAGGACCTCAGAAGTCTTCCTTCACTGTCAAAGGGAGTCAGAGAGGAACTGGAGAGATACCCAAGGGAAGAAGCATGAAGGTCAACCCAGAGGGTGGGTGGGCATGTCTGACCTACTTGTCTGAACGAGAAGGAAGAAGTATCTGCTTAGAGATAAACAGGCCTGTCTTCTCCCAGAGGGAAGGAAGGGGAGAAAGGAGGCTACTGAAGTCCACACTGCCCTGTTACCATCCCTTAGTAAGTTTCAGTCCTGCCCACCCACACCAATGCTACCCACAGACTGACCTATCTCGTGCCGCAGCATGCCCTCCAGCCAATACTGGCGGGCTCCGGTCAAGTTGATGGCCAGTGTGGGCCGGCTGTTCTCCACCATCATGACTGCCTGGGACAACAGGTCCTCGCTCAGCTGCACCACAACCTGCAGGGTGGCAGGGCTCTGAGTCATGGTTTACAAGCCCTGAGAGCTAGTGGGCAGATAGGCCCGTGATGCTACAAGGTAGCCAGGCCAGACACTGACCAGGACACCCGCCCTTCTGGGGCTGGGGCTGGGGCTGGGATATGTCTAGGAATTACATCTGGCCAGGTGTGTAGCTGAGCCTATCAGCTTGACGGCCTGATTTGAGGCATAGAGATGGGTCCTTGTAGATAGGGCAAACTTACCTCCCCAACGCAGCCCTCCTTCTGCATGTATTTTCGCACAATGGACCAAATTTGGCACTTGGTCAGCAGCTGGCCCCCTGTGGCAGCCTCAAAGTGTTCATAAGTGCCAAACTTCTCCAGGACCGCCTCAATGATGCCAACAGCCTGTACACAGGACCACAGTCACTAGTCAGACTAGGTCCCTTGGGCAGTCAGGGTCAGGGTGAAATGGGCAGGCTGGACTGACCTGATGGATGAACTGTCCAGAGGCCTCCTGGTACTTCTCCAGTACACTCATTGGCATCGGTTCCTGGTACTCGAACTGCGGATTGTATGTGTAATGGGACTGGAAGAATTTCTCCCGTTCCTGGTCCATGTTGGTTGGCCGCAGGGCCACTAACATGCAGGGGCTCTTGTTGCTACCATTGCCCACCTCCTTTCGAGTCTTAGCAATGAGAGGCAAGGAGGCTGCAGGCCGTAGGGTCCCTCCACCTGGATCACATCCCCGTCCAAGCGGAGCTTTACCTCGCCCCCGCTGGCCAGTGCTATTTACACTGTAGGTGCTCTCACTGCGACGCATGTGGCTGCGCTGTCCCAATTGCAGCTTTGAGAAGGTCTGCCACATAGGCTGGGACTGTAGTGCTGAGGGAACCGCCAGAGCCAAAGGCATAGACAGGGACTGCGGCCAGGGGTACAGGGGTGGCCCATTTCGATTTGAGGGCTTCAACCTAGGGCGCTGAGATGGGGGACTGGCAGGTGGGCTGGGGGGTGCCCGCTCATACACCTGAGCCCCTGAATCCAGCACCATTCTGTCCTGAGGGTTTCATCCAGCTCAGCTGTTCCAAATTCCTACTGTTGACCTCTAGAGACACAGAAGGGCATGCAGAGACAGGCATGAGTGGATGTGGCCAGAGGAGAGAGCCCTGTGTCCCCCGCTAGCCTTGTTGGATCCAGGGTCTGCTGCCGGGAACCTGAGAAACTGTCCACCCTCCCCAGCCTCCATTCCTTTCACCAGGTTTACCCAAATCGTCTGAGGTGGAAGCAAGAGGAAGAATTTTATACATTTTCCTACTTACTAAAATACTCTCAGATGGTTAGATCTAGAGCTAAAACTAAGACCCTAAACATGATTCTAACCTCAGTGCTCAGCACTTACCCAGCCTGGGAGTTGGCAGAATGCAGCCTCTGATCCCTAGATGGACCACAGGTGAGGGAAGCCCATAGACTCCTTTGTACAGGTGGCATCTCTTTGGTCCCATTTTGTCCCCTTCACCTAGCTCCATCTATATCCTCCTGCCCATCTGTAATCAGTCAGTGTGAAGGAGTGCACTTTCCTCATGCCTGTCCCCACATGAAATACTGTCTCTCCTGGTGGCCGTCTATTAGAATCTGCTTTTGGGAATCAGAGAAACACTGGTACATTCAAATTAGCCCTTGGCCTGTCTTCCATCTGAGACATCTTCCCAGGGGTCATCCGAGGCACGAGAACTCACCCCTGACTCTGTGCCAGGGCTCAGTGCAATCCGGTCTCTCCCCAGAGACTGACTGAGGACTTCAGCCTCTGAACTCCCTTGCCTGCTCAGGGACTCGATTTCTCCTTGACGTACACCACCAGTCTTCCTCCCCATTGGATTAATTCCATCAGCATAAATACATGCTGTTATTCCTCCATTTTAAAAAACAAAACAAGGCCTGGCGGTGGTGGCACATGCCTTTAATTCCAGCACTCAGGAGGCAAAGGCAGAAGGCAGGCAGATCTCTGTGAGTTCGAGGCCAGCCTAGTCTATAAGAGCTAGTTCCAGGACAAGCTCCAAAGCTACAAAGAAACCCTGTCTCAAAAAACAACAAAAAAAAAAAACAAAAAAAAAAAAACAAAACAAAAAAAAAAAACCTTTACATGACTCCACACACAGCTCCTCCAGCTGCTCTCCGATGCAGCACCATACCCTGAGTCATGTGCACCATCTCCCATTTCTTCCTTCCCGTCGTCTCCTAAGTTCACTCCCATGGAGCCTGCATACGTCCTGCTCTCCATCAGACTGAGCTGACCGAGGTCACTAATGATCATCATGTTGATCTGTAGCACCTGGTGCAGCGGATCCCTCCATCCTGGGAACATATGCCCCTTTCCCTTTCCGAGTCCACTAGAACTTAGCTTTCCTCCCACGTCACTGGCTGCTTCTTCTTGGTCTTCTTGTCAGTTATCCCTATCTCCCAACCTCTGAACACTGTAACATCCCAGACTTATCTTTTCCATGTATACTCATCCTAGGATCCCATCCAATTTTGTGGTTACTTGTTTTGTTTTGATGAAGGGGATCAAACCCAGAGCCTTGTACATAGTAAGTATAGCCTGTCTCACTAGCCTGTATCCCTAGTTCTCGTGACCACGGACTTAAATACATCAGTTCAGCCTCCTTCCATGAACATTAGATCACTATAGCTACTTTCAATATATATATATATATATATATATATATATATATATATTACATATCTATTTTTAATACAGCATCTCCCTATGTAGATCACGCTGATCTTCAACTCACAATCTTCCTGTTTCAACCTCTCTAGTCCTGGCTCAGGATTAAGACAACATACCTGACCTTCAAGATATCTTTAATATTTAGCAGGTACCTAAAGTTGAATGTGCCCATTGTGTAAATAACGACACCACCCCACATATAATAGCATGGGTCACTGTCCTACGTGGAATAGCTTGGGTTACTGTCTCAGTTTCCTAAAAACTGCATAAATATATTAGAAAAATGCTACAGAGAGAGAGAGAGAGAGAGAGTGTGTTTTGGGGTTTTTTTTTTTGTTTGCTTTGGTTTTGGTGTGTGTGTGTGTGTAGTCCTGGCTTTCTTGGAACTCACTATGTAGACCAGGCTGGCCTTGAACTTGGAGAACCACATGCCTCTGTCTCCTGAATGCTGGGATCAAAGGCAAGGCATTCACCACCATCACCCTGCATAAAAATGTTTTAATAAAAGATTTAGGAGCTGGAGAGATGGCTCAGCGGTTAAGAGCACTGAGTGCTCTTTCCAGAGGTCCTGAGTTTAATTCCCAGCACCCACATGGTGGCTCACAACCATCTAGAATGAGATCTAGTGTCCTCTTCTACTGTGCAAGTATACATGCAGAGAACTCATATATTAAAATAAATAAATAAAGACAGCTGCCCTCTGTCAGATGTAGTGATACAGGTCTGTAATCCCAGCACTCTTAAGGCTGAAACAGGAGAACTGTGAATTCCTGGTCAGACTGGGCTTCATAGCAATACATGTTTCAAAGCTTTAAAAAGAAAGAAAATCAGCCCTAACAAATCTCTACAAAAGAACAAATCTCCCCCCCCCCTCTCTCTGAACTATGTTGTTGTTTCTGTAGCAGTTGTTGCCATGTAAGGTGTAACAGCTAATTTTACATTTGTATGGTATAACTGGTGATTTTATCTGCTTTCTCCTTTCCAGGATTTGCAGCTGTGTTTCCAAAACCCAGAATAGTTCCTGATAAAGCATTGTAATCAATAAATGGGTGAATCTGAGTCCTTGTAAGAACTGGAGTCAGAGGGCTGGAGTGATGGCTCAACAATTAAGAGCACTTGCTGCACTCCCAGAGAACCCAAACCCAGTTCCTAGCATCCACGTTGGACAGCTCACAACTACCTATAACTCCAGGGGCAGGGGGCTCAACGCCCTCTTCTGGCCTCCACAGGCACATGCACATACCCATAAAGAAATAAAAGTTCAAAACCTAAAAAAAAAAAAAAAAAAAAAAAAAGAACTAGAATCATTCCTTCCCCAACTTAGATTCCACATCTAGACCTGATCTTTCTCCTCGGAGCCCTCCTCCAACCTTGCCTAGTGATCAGCAAGTCTTAGACCTTATTCGCCCTCAAAGTGTATACTTTCCTGGGCGCCTGTTGACCACTGCCTGGGCCAGTTCATCTATTCCCTTCGTTCATTCCAACCCACCTCCTCGTATTTACCAGAATGCACCTGTTTCTTTCACGTCTCACGTTCTTCTGCCAAGAATTCTTTGGCCAACGTGTCCCTGGAGGACCCTCTTAACCATTTTTCAGAGCTCGGTTTAGGCCTCACTTTCTCTGGAAAGCCCTCCCGATGTGCAAAGCGTTCCAGGGTCCTGAAGGCTTCTTGACAGCCCTAGGCTGTCATGGTTGGAGGCTAGGTCCATGTTCCCCACCAAGCCCTGAACTCCCCGAGGTCAGGGAGGGTCTGATTTACCCTCTCGTCCCAAGCACTCACTAGAGGCAGAATGAATAAAGACAAAGTGAGGATGGAGACCCTGAAAGGCGGGGTCTGGTGACAAATGAGAGGGTGTGGCCCACACCAATAAGAACCCCTGGAAAGAGGTTAACATGGGAGAAGAGCCAATGGAAACCGAGAGATCCGGGGGGGCGTGCCCTGGAGGCCAATAAGGGGCGTGGGATAGGGTGAAGGGCGTGCCCAATGGAGGGCGGGGCTAGAAGACAATGGAGTGGGGGAATTCTCCCGTAAAACAAGAGGGGTCTGGTCGCATGCTTAGTCTCGGCCTTTGGAGTGGGATGCGGGTTCGGTCCGCGTGCCGCGTCCCCACCTGCTCGCGCCTCTTTTGCTGTCGGCAAGTCCTGCTCTTCAAAGCCGATCGCGGGCCTCCGAGACTCTGGGAGCCGGCGCCAAAGACGCACGCACTCGGGCGCGCGCACGCTCACACGAAGATGCGAAGAGGCGCAGATTCACGCCAGTCTCCGCGGTAGGGCGAATTGAAGCCCACTGTGGGCGGAGCCAGGCGTGCGAAGAGGGCGGGATCACGGCCACGCCACGCCCCCGGGCGAGGGGTCGTCCTAAACACCCCCTCCACAAGTTTCCCGGCTTCTAAAGCGTCGGGCGAAGGCGGTGAAGACACTTATTGCCGGCCGGCAGATACGTGGGTACTGAGGACTCCGGGCAGATACGTGGGTACTGAGGACTCCGCGGGAGCCCAGGGTTCGGGGGACGCAATTCACAAAGAGAGCAAATGTCTGCATAGGCGAGATGCTACGGGAATACTAAAACTGCAGCCAGGATAATCACTGGACATGAACCCCTAATTTCAGCGCTGATTTCAACACCCGCGTGCCCCAACATATAGATTCAGACGCGCGGTGGATGTGGCTTTATTACGCAGACAGATGGGTCAGGAGCAGGGACCCGAGGGGAGGCAGGAGGACAGTGAGGGCGTAGGCGTCGGTACGAGGCTGAAGAGGGCACGGCGGCCAGAGGAAGGTGAGGGCGGTGGGCCGGCCTGCAGAGAGCTGAGTGCTGCCTGGCGATGCTCTCGGGACACGTCCCCACGCAGGTCCAGGAGGGCGGAGACATGGTCCTCGCTGCAGGAACACCACTATGCGTGTCAGCCCCGCTCTTGCCCTCCTCGGCTCTTTCCTCCTCCCCTGTCCCCCTCCCCTCACCTCACGTCGGGAAATTTTTGCCTCAGGCCTGCCACCTCGAGGCCGAGCAGCGTTGGGTCGTGGAGGCTGAACAGTTCCTGCAGCGCGAGCAGCACCGGCGCGCAGTGAGCGCTCTCCTCTAGGCCCTGAACACATTGGGACAGGGTTTCTAGAGGGCCCTCGGCTTCTACCCGTCTACTGAGATTCTCTGTAGACTGTAGACTGCCTGCCCTCCCAACGAGCTCTCACCAAACCCAGGAAAAGCTCCTTAAGCTGGACAGCGTCGTGCCCAAGGCGCTCAGCCGCCTGGGTCCGCTCGTCAGCACCGCGGCACACTAGGCGGCCCTGCATCAGCGCGCGCAGGTATTGCAACACCACGGTTCGTTCCGCCTCCGCCAGCAGCAGCTGCAGGGCAGGTAACCAGTTTGAGTTGAGTACAGATTGCCATCAGCAGCGCCCCTTCCCCAACCTTCCTCTCCCTGTCCACCTGAACAGCAGGCTTCCGCACACGCCAGAAATCCTGGCAGAAGTGCGACGTCTGCTCACACACACCGTCTAGCAGCTCAGAACTCAGCAGCCACCGGCGCGAGGGTAGAGATGCGAACAGGGGCTAGGGAAAGCATGGCAGAGACAGGCTAGAGGAATGATCCGGATCCCGCAGTGACCCCATAAATATACCGTGTTTCTCCCTCCCACTCCCATCCTGGCTGGATTGGAAGCCTCACCTGGAGCTCAGCCTGCAGTGCTTCCAATACCAGGCGGCAGATCCTCTTCTGTACGTCGTCCAGCGCGGCTTCTATTGGAGCCAAGACCCCTGAAGCTTCCCCGTCTGGCAGCAGGACGGATAACGAAGAGCTGGCCCAACCAAAAGTACTACTTCAGGACCAAGGCCAAGGCTCGCATGGCCCTCAAGGATTCATCCGTTCTGGCGCCACCTTGTGGTGCACAGTGTGTGTGGTGGGGTGGGGGCGGGAAGGGTGGCTCTCAGTTTGTGAAGGTGTTCTGAAAGGTTAGGAAGGCGTGCCCAGAGGGCTTGCCGCTAAAGTAAGCTCGAGTTAAGTCACTCTTTCTGTTTCTTTGTTTCCTCCTCGGTAAGGGAGGGGAGTTAATTTTCGACAAGAGTGAGTAAAAAGCATCCGTTTGGCCGGGTGGTGGTGGCGCACTCGGGAGGCAAAGGCCAAAAAAAAAAAAAAAAAAAAAAAAAGCATCAGCTTCTATGTCTGTCCTTGTGCCTACTACAGAGGGCATAATACTCAAGAAGATAGCCAGGCCTGGTGGAGGCTGAAGAAGGAAGATTGCTACCAGTTTGAGGCCAGCCTGAACCACAGGGTAAAACTCTTGTCTCAAAGAAGTAGGAGGAACACGGGGAAAATTTCCTAGTTCATAGCTGTAACTTCAGAACTTCAGACATTATCTGATATAGTAAAGCCTTGATAAATATTTGTTAAAAGGATATAAATATTCACATCTTTATTTATTATCTCAGACTATTCAACTAAGCACCCAAGTAACAGTAGAATAACTAATAAGAAAAATGACAGATGCATTGTGGTACAACTAGTATCAGAGCCCGGATTAGAACCCCACCTTTGTGGGCCCAAAGTGGGTCAAACGTGGGTGGCATCCGTGCTTTTGAGGCACTGGGAAGAATGTTAGTGCAAGTGTAGTACCTCAGTGCTGACTGGTGGTTGAAAGCAGCCAGCAGGTAGGGCACATAGTGAGGGGCTTCTCCCCTGAGATGGTCCTGAGAGAAGCGGATCAGAGCATCGCTGAAGCTGTAGTGGGCAGAGGGGACCCTTGGGTTTGCTGCTGCTCGGGCAACCCCACAGCTGCAGCCCCACTTTCAAGTCCTTGTTTAAAGGAACCCTTTCCCCACTGGCGTGGGGTTCCCCTATTCATTCAGAGCCCGTTGGCTGCCGGGGATTGTGAATGGGTCCCTGCTTGGCAAACCTCCTCAAGAACACGCCCAGTTCTGACAGCGCTGTGTCATGCACCCGCCGATGCAGTGAGTCACTGATCAGGCTGGTCACTTGAATGTTCTCAGCCAGGATCTGCAGGCAGGGAGGGGCAGCCTTTAGAAATCCCCTAGACCTGCCTACCTCCCTTCCATTGTGGGAGCTGCCCACTTGCCTTGGGTACTTCCCACCCACCTGCATTACAATGGCAGGCATTGGTGAATGGTAGAAACCAGACGGGTCTGTGTTGGGCTCCTGCTGCCTGCTCCACTCAGCTACCTCTCCATCTAGGGCCTTCTGCAGCCACTGAGCCACACTTACCTGGGAAGAGAGGATAGCGAGCATCAAGACCTATCAGGGTATCGACAAGGCATTCAACGAGACAGTGGTCACAGCGGTGGGCAGAGCACCTCTGTCCTCTGCCCTAACCAGTCACCTGGACTTGGGCCACAAATGCTGTCTCCAGCTGCTCGATGTTCTCCGGGGTCAGGAGGGGCTGTAGCTGGGACACATCGGCCTCAGGCCCCAGTTCCAAGTTCCCCATCATCTCCTTCCTAGAGATGGATAGCAGGATGTCATACTGAGCCTCTAGTCTTCCCTCTTACCACGCCTCCAAGAACACTCACCCCATGTACACATGCAATGCCCAGTGCAGCAGGGCAAAGGTGTCGGCAGCTCCCAGCTCAGGCCCTGAGAGGAGCTGCTGAACACTGCGGCGCAGGCCACTGTGCAGGGTGTGGGCCCAGAGCTGAACCACATAGTAGTTTGGTGGGCAGCAGGGCGCCACTAGGGCCTCAGCCGTAGCCAGCTCAGCAGGCAGAGCTACCTGCAGCGCCTCAAGCCACCCTGCGAGGGCCCCTGGCTCAGGCAGCGCAGGTGATGCGAAGTGGGCCCGGTCCAGGCCCTCCTGTAGCGCCCGAAGACATCGCTGACGCCAGTCTCGGGGTGTCTGCCCCAGGATTGTACGCTCAGTCTCCGCCTCTGCCACACGAAGAGCAGCTACCAGCAGGGCTGGATCTTCCCGGGCTAGTCGTCCTGCAGCCCCGGCAGCTGCCTCCACAGCTTGGCACAGCGCCTCAGCCAGGAGGCCCAGTCCCTGGAATACTGGCAACTCCAGCCCTCCTAGGGGTGTCCATGCCTCCTCTTGCAGCTGCTCTAGCTCCCGTAGGCTCACGTATGCCTCCAAGAATCTCTGAGTATCGATCAGGGTCTGTGTGTGGGCCACTGCGGCAGGCACTAGGGAAGAAAGGAGGTCGCTTGAGGTCTCAGTCTTCCCACCTATGCTGCTGGTACAGCAAGGGACACAGAGGTCCTGAGACGTGTGCGAGGTTTTAAATATTTAGTGGTGAGCACAGCAGAGCGCTGGTTAATCCGAACATTCAGGCTATGGCCTACAGTTGGGCCATATGTCAATCCCTGAGCCAATAGAATATGAAATCAAGAACGCTGGGGAGGTGGGTGGGTGGGTGGGAGGCTAGAGAGAGGCCTCGGTGGTTGTGAGCACTTGCTGCTTTTTTGCATAGGACTTGGGTTCGACTACCAGCACCCATGTGGCAACTCACAACTGCCTGTGACTTCAGTTCCAGGGGATCTAAGTCCTCTTCTGATCCCTGCATGTACCAGGCACTCATGTGGTACACATACACACATACATACATACATACATACACACATACACACATACATACATACACACACATACACACATACATACATACACACACATACATACATACATACATTCAGGCACCCAAACATACACTTAAAATAAAAATCTTTCAAAAGAATGTTAGAGGACAGACAAAATAAATAGGAGACCATATTGACTGCTATTCGCCCACCTTGTTAGCTACATATATATCTGTATTTATGGGTATATATATTGATGCATATATAGAGATGCAGGTATTGTTGAACTTTGTATGTGTGTAATTTTGGGGGAATACCTGGGACCGAAGTTAGGGTCCTGCACGTACTAAGCACATGCTCTGCCTCTGAGCTAGAGTCCAAGCCCTTTCAATGTGCTAATCACCATGGCCACAGCCGCATAATGGGATGTCTGTGCTGACTTCCATGTCTGTGCTTGAGAAGCCAGGATGAGCTGCTTGTGTACCCTATTTCAGATACTCTTGAAGTTAGGATTACTCTCTGGGATGCCCTGGGTGCATCTCTCCATGTAATCACTTCTCTAGTGCCCCAGCTGCTGCTCAGCGTGGGTATTTGTGGACTCTTAGAAGTTGAGCCCAGAGAACCCCCACGCCCACACTCACCTGCTTGTAGTCTCGGCAGCAACTGAGTCAGGACCTG